CCGGCCCCGCCAGTCCTCTGCGGACCCGGGCTCCGCTCTCGGGCCTCCTATGCCCCCGCCCCGGCGTCCACCCACCGAGCCCCGAGCAGCCCCCGCCTGTGTCCTTCTGGGCGGCACACGGCCAGCCTCCCCTTCTGCCCCCCGCCGCCCGCACATCCCCCACCTCCCGCGAGTTGAGGGCTGGACGCTTGCCTCACGTATTATTCAAAATCGCAAACGTTTATGGAGTGCTCTCCAAGTACCAGGCACTGTGCGGGGGGCCGGGGCTTCAAAGACCACCGAGACAGACAACCTGGATCTGAGGAACTCCTGTGCCGGACGGGCACCGGTCAGACGCGAGGGCAAGTGGCTGTAACAATGCAGCGTGCTGGGGAAGATTTATCGGTGCCCTGTGCCCTGGGGGCGCGGAGAAGGGAGGGAGGAGAAGTCGAGCTGCGAGGCTCAGTTCGGCCCGGGGGGTAGGGGGTGGGGCTGCGGAGCGGGAGTGAGGGGCGGGGAGGGGCGAAGGCAGCTTGTATGCAGGGGCTTCTCCTGGGCAACGGGCTCTGTGAAATGGCCGTGAAGATCACTGAGTTTTATTGTGCTGTCTTTATGCCCAGGTACTCCTCAGATCACTTTGCATCACATTAGCCCCGGAGATAGACACCATTATTATCTGGGCGCCGTAATTGAGGAAACTAAGGTTCAGCGGTGGAAGATGTGTATGGAAGAGAGGGCAGAAGAAGCTGCTGGGTGAGTGAGCAGGTGGCTGTGGGTATTAGAGAGTGAGGAGTAAGCGAGTGAGTTCCCTCCCCTGTCTCCCAGCAGCAGGGAACGCGCAGCAGCACTTGTCGGGAGTGGTGGACCCTGAGACTGCGTCTGGGAGTAAGTCTAGCATATTAAGAAGTGGAAATGAGTTCCCAGGACCCCAAAGCCTGCAGTACATGGGGGAGGCTGTCAATGGCAGAGTGTGTCACGGTGACATTTCCCCTCCTTCATCAAAAAGCACACCAGTGCTTCTCAAAACGTAATGTGCCTGGGAATTATCTGGAGGTTGCATGGGGCTGGAGTGGTGCTGGTTTCTGCATTTCTAACAAGCTCCGGGGTGATGTGATGCTCCTTGTCTCGGGGACTCACTTTGAGTACAGAAAAGACTGCATGAGACATATTTTCACCTGGGAACTTAGTGTTGGAGAGATACCAAGAGCCATCTGATAAAAGGTCAAATGATTTTTGATGAGCTCACCAACAAATGATGCTGAAACAACTGGGTATTCATGTGAGGTGGGTGGGAGGAGGGGGGACTGCAATCCCTACCCACAGCACATACAAAGTTCAAATTAAGAGGGACCATAGTCCAAAACATAAACTTAATTGATAAATCTTCTAGAAGAAAACATAGGAGAATATCTTCTTAGTCTTTTGGTAGGCAAAGATTTCTTAGAAAGGACATCAAAAGCAGAGACCCTGGGGCGCCTGGGTGGCTCAGTCGTTGGGCGTCTGCCTTCGGCTCAGGTCATGGTCCCTGGGTCCTGGGATCGAGCCCCGCATCGGGCTCCCTGCTCTGCGGGAAGCCTGCTTCTCCCTCTCCCACTCCTCCTGCTTGTGTTCCCTCTCTCGCTGTGTCTCTCTCTGTCAAATAAATAAATAAAATCTTAAAAAAAAAAAAAAGCAGAGACCCTAAAAAAATTGATAAATAGACCTCATCTAAATTTAAAACTTTTATCAAA